AAAAAAAAAAAAGATGGATGGATGTCTAAGGGACTCCGCACAGGAGCTGGGGTCTGAACTGCTTTATGTTAAATGGTTTAGCTTCCAAAGAGGCATTTTGTCCATGAGTTTTCCTTCTAGGAAAAATGTTGGAGGCATATGTTTGGGGCTGAAAAACAAAAACACTGATATTTTGGTAACATCTCCCAAGGGCATGAACATGTTTTGTTTTAGTGGGTTTGAACACATTTTCACAGTTGGTGGTCTTAAAATTCTGCAAGTCTCTGGGAGATGGGGGAATTCCCAGTTGGTCTAGAAAGGCTTTATTAATGATAAACTACTGTATTTAGGACATTTTGTTACCTAAAGAAAAAAAATCAGCATAATCTTTGCAGAGGCAGGTGGCCCGGGCTTTCCACGTGGGTAGTCAGAAGACCCCTCCGGAGGGTGTTTTTTTGTAGTTGGGTGTATATTAATCCTCCCTTAATAACATATTCTTACTATAACATTTAAAATGCTTGGCAACGGACAAAAGCCCCGTGGGAGAGCGTGTGGTGGATCTCTGTAGGGCCGGAGAGCAGGGCCTTCGGATTCTATTCATTCATCTTCCAGGCCGCTTTGGCTCTTTTCATATTGCAATTGCTTTCCCCGTGAATGACTTCTCTGCCCGCTGCTGTACCGCCCTTCCCAGCTCTTGCTTTAACTTCCCTCAGCTCTTGAAAAGATCCTAAGGAGAATTGGCAGAGGGCTCTAGCATTAAAAACTTGTCTTCCTTTGTTGGCCCCCTTTTGTGGCCCCATGCTGTCTCTTGTTATGCCAAGGCAACTAGAGGGAAGCAGAACCTCATTCTGAATATTAACCCAGACCCCAGCTCTGCAGTTTGTTCTGAAAGCCCCCCAAACACTGAAGAAACCGTCCCCTTGGGCAGTGATGGAGGCCACGTTAGTCAGTTGATACACTTGGTAGTGGGGGAGAGTGACAACCCCCAATGGGAGGATTGTGGGGGGGGGGAACGACTCTTTTTTGAATTCCTTAATAATTTCAAGTTTCAAGTGAAACTTGTCACCATCCTCTTCCTTTAGTAAGGTCAAGCAAAACAGAGCAGATCCGTGTGTGCTTGGTGGTGAAGAATGGTTTCCCTCTTTATGAGATGATATCTGAAAATGTACTTTCCAACACTCCTTGTGGGGTTCAAGATGGTCATAAACCAGAACACCTTGATCACTAGATTAGAGGTCACAATATTGACTGATTAATAATAGCAGTATTTGTCATATGATTGTTAAATGTTTTCTTAATAATTCCTCACTAGTGGCTGGGTGGAGTGGCTCATGCCTGTAATCCTAGCACTCTTCAAGGCGGGTTGATTGCTTGAGCTCAGGAGTTTGAGACCTGCCTAAGCAAGAGTGAGACCCTGTCTCTACTTAAAATAGAAAAAGGAGGCTGAGGCAGGAGGATCATTTGAGCCCAGGCGTGTTTGAGGTTGCTGTGAGCTATGATGCCACAGCACTCTACCAAGCGTGACAAAGTGAAACTCTGTCTTTAAAAAAAAAAGAAATTTCTAACTAGCAAAAATCATACTAAGTGCTGCTATATATACCCTTTTCACCTGTTGTTACATTTTCTCACATTTGCTTTTTGATATTCTACACTCCCCCCCCCCCCCCCCGCCAATATCGGTATACTTGAAGTCATTATAGGGTTAAGGTGCCAACTTTTTTTTTTTTTAATTTAAATTTTTTTTTTTTTGAGACAGAGTCTTACTATGTTGCACTCAGTAGAGTGCTGTAGCATCACAGCTCACAGCAACCTCCAGTTCTTGGGCTTAAGTGATTCTCTTGCCTCAGCCTCCCAAGTAGCTGGGACCACAGGTGCCTGCCACAATGCCTGGTTGTTTTTGTTGTTGTTGTTGCCATTGTTGTTTAGCTGGCCCTGGTGAGGTTTTTTATTTTTTATTATATTATCTCCTTTAATTGTTAACTTTTGCTTTCATAAAAATTTCATTACATTTAAGAGCAATTTGTAGGTTTGGTTTTTCTCATATGGAAGTTTCTGACAATGGCCTAGAGAGAAATTATAGCCAATATATAGAAAATTAGTTTTCCTGTAGCCAAATAATTTTTTTTTTTTTTTTTTTTTGCAAAGCTGCAACAGAGTGTCAAGCTGTTGCCCTGAGTAGAGTGCCATGGTATCACAGCTCACAGCAACCTCAAACTCTTGGGCTTAAGTGATTCTCTTGCCTTAGCTTCCCAAGGAGCTAGGACTACAGGCGACCACCACAACGCCCTGCTATTTTTTGGTTGTACTCGTCATCGTTGTTTGGCAGGCTCAGGCTGGATTTGAACCCTCCAGCTCCAGTGTGTGTGGCTGACACCCTAGCCACTTGAGCTACAGGCACTGAGTCTGTAGCCAAATAATTTTAAAAAGCCAAGTTTGTAGGGCAGTGCCTTTGGATCAGTGAGTAGGGTGCTGAGTGTGGTAGGTTCAAACCCGGCCCCAGCCAAACTGCAACAAAAAATAGCCAGGCATTGTGGCGGACGCCTGTAGTTCCAGCTACTCGGGAGACTGAGGCAAGAGAATCACCTAAGAGCTGGAGGTTGCTGTGAGCTGTGATGCTACTGCACTACAAAGTGAGACTCCCCTGGTGAGGTTCTAACCTGCCAGCCCTGGTATACTTGGAGTATACCAAGAGTTGGAGGTTGCTGTGAGCTATGACACCATGGCACTCTACCCAGGGCAAAAAAACCGAAAACAAAAAAACCAAAAAAAACCCCAACTAGATTCACCATATGCACTTTTGGCAGGAATGAATATAGTTTTAAGAATCCCAACGGCACAGATTCTTGTTGAGACTTTGCCAAAGTTTTAGAGGATTTAAGTTAATCAAATTGAAACATTTTAGAACTTATTTTGAGGAAAAAGAATTTTATTTTAAACAATTGAGCCCAAATCACCCTTTATTAACAAGGAACTCACCATAAGAAAGAAGGATGGGTGACAGGCGGTTTTCTTGTTTGTTTTTTTAATAGCTGCTTTGGACATTTTGGATGGTTTTATTTCATTCACAGTGTGTCTAATACCAGCTGTATTAACTTGTAATGCAACTGTCATGGCTTAATAAGAATTTGAAGTATTTTGGCAATAAAATTAGCCGTCTACACAGGAAAGATCTTTTAATTCATTCTTTAAAGAAATATTTGAGACTTGTTCATGTGTCGAGTGTATCAGAGAGTTCTGCATTACAGAGATCAAAAAGGGGAGTCTGGGGTTTCAGGCAAATAACAGTCCACTGAGGTATACAGGCGTATAAACAGATAATGACAAGAAAGTACTACTAATAGTACTTTAGTGGCATGAATATGGTGGCCTTCATAAAGAATGCCCTATTGTTGGCTTTTTTTTTACTTTTTTTTGGAGACATATACTGTTCCCTGGGTAGAGTGTCTTGGCGTAATAGCTCACAGCAACCTCAAACTCTTGGGCTCAAAAGTGATCCCCTTGCCACAGCTTCCCAAGTAGCTGGGACTATAGGCTCCCTCAACAACACCAAGCTAGTTTTTCTATTTTTCGTAGAGACAGGGTCTCACTCTTGCTCAGGCAGGTCTCAAACTCCTGAGCT